TCTCTCTCTCTCTCTCTCTCTCACACACACACACACACACACACACAGGACTAAGGACTGATCTATTTTATAAATCAAAAGTTTCAATAATACTGCCTGTGAAAATCTTAAAAGATGAACAGTAACACTCAGAAAGGGGCAGACAGCAGCCTCACCTTTAACTCTGTGTCTGGTAACTTCTGAACTACATGTTACCATGCAAAAACTCCCTGAAAATTTATATGTAAGCTTTGGTTACTTTTCTCTTGTTGCTGATAGTGTTTCTGTTTGTTTGCTTGTTGTTTTTGTTTTTGCAGTATCGGGAATTGAACTTGACACCTTGCACTTGCCAGGCAGGCGCTTATGCCATTGAGCTATATTCCTGGCCCTCTCTTGTTGCTGAGACAAAATACCTGACACCCAAATTAAAAAGGGAAAGGTTAATTTGGCTCACAGTTTTTGGAAGTTCTAGTCTATATTCAGCTGGCTCTGAGGCAGAGTGGCACAAGCACAGAGGAACAGTTCATGGCAGAAGACAGCAAAAGCAGCAAGAACAAAAGGGATAAGCAACAGAGAGCTAGCCTCTTTTTTTTCTAATTAATTAGTTAATTGGTACAGGGTCTCACCACACAGCTAGGACCACTGAGCTATCTCCCTGGCCCCAAGAGAGCTAGCCTCTTTCCCTCCCTTCTACTGTATGCAGGCTACCTGCCCCAGGGTGGGTATAGTACTCACACCCATAATCCCAGCACTGGACCCTAAGTCAATCAAAAACTCTAGAAGCTGCCCCATGACTGCATGAGGCTTTGGAGAGACATCTAGACAGAACTTGTAACAATGCAGACATCCCCACAAAGCCTCATGTGCTTTGGGAGGTGACTGGACCATGGGGATGTGATGCACTAGACTGGCTCACTAGGGTCTGTCTCCCTCCTCCTCCCTTGATCCCTCTCTCTGCCTCCTGCTGCCCTGACACAAACTGTTTCTCCTCTGCCATGCTGCTCTACCTTGGAGCCAGCTAACTACCTCTACAAACTGTGAGCCACGTACCCTAGCCCTGAGTTAAACTCCCATGCTTAAATCTCTGATCAGTAATGAAATTCATCTCTATACACAGAGTCAAGGTTCATTTATTGTCCCGTAAAGTCTCCATTTGTATTAGATCCATAAGTACCCAATAAAGCACTGTTGATTGATGAAGCTCCCCTTTTCCTCCTGAATCACAATGACAAATGGCAGCTCATGCACAAGCCTATCTCTGCACCCTCTAGTGTTTGTTGTGTATCACCCTTGAGAAATAGCCTTGTCTTCATGACTGAACCTCTCTAAAAATCTTGAACTAGGGAATATTTTCATGTGCAATTTAGAATTTCATAAGCTATTCTTACAAAAGAAATGAATGCCAAAAATGAACCACCTCAAGTCTTACAGGTTAGCATATCAGAGTAAACAAAACAACTCCCTTAAAATCAGTAGAATGAAAAACCTGCTTTGCACTACACCAGCCCTCAAGGTCCTCAGGAGCTCTCGTGGTCACTGAAGGAGACCACCCCAGTACAGGACCCACCTGAGTCAGGTAGAGCATGTCTCTGAAGGTGCGGACAGGATCTGGGCCTTCTGGGAGCCTGAAATGCAGGGCAGCCTGGCGAAGCATCTCCTTATTGCCATCCAGATGGTGCTGTCGATGATAGGTGAACGTGCTGTTATAAGACCAGTCTTCCTTCACTGAGACCTTCCAAGTAGAAGCAGAAGAGTCAGGATGGGGAAGCTGGCAGTGAAACTACTTTTCTAGAAGTTCCTGACTAACCCAGAGAGTACTGTACATGCTGGGGAAAAGGTTCTTCTTGCTATGCAGTTCAGGCTGGCCTTGAGCGTACCTTGTAGCCCAAGCTGTCTTGAACTCACAAAGATCCTCCTGCCTCAGTCTCCCAAGTGTAGCCTGTGGTTCTTAACTGACTGTAATGTCATAGACATTCTTGAATTTTTTTTTTTTTTTAATTTTGGGGAAGAGTCTACAGGATGTTCAGGGTCTCACTACTAGATCAGTCTCATAGTGATCCGCCTGTTTACAGCCTCCTAAGAGCTGGGATTACAGGTGCATGCCACCATGTCCAGTCTCAATTGCCATCTCAGCATGCCCCGGGGGTGGGGCTGGCACAGAGGCCCAGGATTGAACCCTTGGCCCCTGTACCTGTTTGCAGGTGCTTTAATCTGCTGAACTATTTGGCCAGTCCTTCATAGACATTCTTACCGTCACACTTGTTGCTGGTCAAAGCCTGGTATCTTCATCTTCCCTTGAAAGTTACACCTTGTTTCTTCTCTCAAGAGATTCGCCTTATCAAAATGCATTTATTATGTGCATTTTTACAATAGCCTCCTGTCTATTTAGTATTATTTTATATGACTAGTTTGTCAAAACTGTCATAATTATGAAATAGAAATAAAATACTACTGTGACAACAGCAGATGTTTCAGAAATCACTCATACTACTTGTTTCTCAGTGATTTCTACACAAGGCTGATAAATACACTTAACTGTTGATGTAGTTGAGAATATAAACTAAGTAATGACACTCTGATCTGTTTTGTTTTCAAGCCAGGTACTGTTAAACAAAATCAGAACAACTAGGCACCCACAGGCATAAGAGTGGATCAAGATACACATTAATGCTACATGGAAAAAGTAACACGGGTCACACATGCCAGAGCTAACCCAAAAACTCCTAGAAGACAGCACAGGAGTAAACATCTGTTATCTGGATTAGGCCAGGACTTCTTAGAGTCAAAATCAAAAACTCAAGAGACTAGCAGATAGAACTTCATCAAAATTAAAATTTCTATGCTTTTAATGACATCATCAAGCTGGTAAAATGATAACCCACGGATTGAGAGAAAGTATCTTCAAAACACACATTTGACTTAAAATTCTAGGGTACATATTTTAAAAGCCCTCATAACTCAACAACAAAACGACGACTCAATTAAACAGTGGGCAAATGATTCGAGCACACGTTTCTAAAAGGAAGACAAATGGCCAATAAGCACGTGAAAGATGCTCAGCATCCTCAGCCATCAAGGAAATGCAAAGTTCCTACAAATGCGTATTTCTGGGGAAATGTTTTAAAAATGAAAAATGACTAGTGTTGGCAACAGTACGGACATGCAAACCGGTGCCGTCATCACAGAAACAGCATGTAGTTCTTCACATTCAGCATACAGTGAGCACGTGACACAGCAGTCCTCTCATGAGTGGGACCCATGCAAGGCCTCTAGAAGAAGATGTTGGGCCTCTTGGTAGTGAAGTTGGGCTTGTGCTGGTGATGCAAGACCTGGTGGGGCGGTGGGAACTTGATCTTGGAGTCGTGGAACTGCTAGACAGCGCGCCAGTGGCACTTGCTGGCTGCGATCTCCTCCACCTTCATGATCTGGATGGAGTGGGCGCAGGCTCAGTGCCAAGTGCACATGTCTTGGTAGCACTGGGTGATGGCGCCTGCTGTGGTCAGGTCCTGGTACTCCTAGTACATGTTGTGGGTGCCACTGTGGGAGTCATAGTACAGCCAGATGCCGAAGATCTTCACCCGCAGCGGAGACTTCTCAAATCCCTGTCCACAGTGGATGATCTCCCCTGAAGATTTCTTCATCTTCTTCAGCTGGGACACAAAGCACCAGAAACAGCACTTGGGCCCAGGGGGATGGCTCAGTAGAATAAGCGTTTGCCTGGCAAGCGCAAGGGCCTGAGTTCAATCCCCAGTTCCACAAAAAAAAAAAAAAGAAAGAAAAAAGAAACAGGACTTGGAGATGACATGGTTGGGTGCAAAAATCTGCATGCCATAGAGAGGCAGCGTGTGGCACTTTGGGGTGGGCAGGCGATACCCCACTATCTTGTATTCCCGGAATGTGCCGAGGCCTTCATGACGCTTTCTCGCTTGCCGCCACCCACAAAAAGAAAGTGTGAAAACATGTTTACACAAGCAATGCACGCGCACACACACACATTCACACAGCATGTGCACAAGTGTCCACCTACAGATAGGTGGTGCAGGCAATGTGAAAAGCATACACAAAAAAACATTATTCAACAATCAGGAGGGAAGACACACAAACACACAGTCCCCCACAGGTGGACCTTGCATGCACGATGCAGTCAAAAAAGCCACTCCCAAGATGCAGGTGGTGTGGTCCTAAGCACAAGGACCAGAGGCCAGAAAGCCTATCAGCAGCATCAATACAGCATTAGGGGGACCGAGGGCCAGGGCAAGAGGACAGGCGGAGGAGAACAACTGCTCACAGGTCAGTGAATCTTCTGAATGCTGGAAATCTACAGTTGGACCATGTGATGGCCACACAACTCCGGGAACACACGGCAGAGCACTGAATCATACACAGCGCATGTGTACGCTTCACAGGAAGTGAATTATTTCAACAAAGCTGTTTTTAAAAGAACATACACAGCTCGGAGAGTGCATCTTCAGGATTGGTGGGGGAGGGCTCCAGGAATCCACACAGAAGGCCAAATATCCCAATATGAAGAAAAAGGAGTGAAAGAAATAGAACACAGTCCAACTCATGTTTTAGCTCATATGCTTAAGGACCATTCTGAGGTTTTTGTTTGTGTGTGTATAAATAAAATTCTTATGTAAGTGAAAAAAAAAAAAAGAAAAGAAATAGGAGGAAACAGGAGAAGAGGAGAAGAAAGAATGCTCAGACCCCCTCTCGGTCTGGAACATCTATCTATGCTAAAACAGTTGGGGGAGGTCCCAAAAGTAGCAAGTAAGAGTTATTTTCATGTGCAATCATAATTCAGATTAAACAAACACTAACTCCCACGTAACTTGTAAATATTCCTAAAGGAACATAACTAAAAGCAATATAGAAAAGTTACAGTCTCTAAGATGAAGACTGGTAAAAGAAAAAAAAATGTTTTTTCTTCCATCTTCTTCCTAAACTTTCATTTAAATAAGAAGAGAAAGGTGGATGTTCTGATGAACACCTATAATCCTAGTACTCTGCGAGGTGGAGGCAAGAAGATCATAAGTTCCAGCCAAGACTCTGTATCAAAATTAAAAAGGGGCTGGAGATGCGGCTCACTGAGAAGGTTCACTCTCCAGTACCGCCCCCTTGGAAAGGGCTGATTTCACTTGGTTTCCTGAACCAGTTCAGAAGCAACACCCAGTCTCCTACTCCAAATCCCTGGAAAGTCAAATGAATGAAGGTTTACCTTTTCTAATGTACTGAAGGAGGACCAGGACTGATAGCCATATTCAGACACAAACCGCGCTTTAGGGAAAACGGTCCAATTCCAGCAATCATTGTCGTAGTCATAAAAATGCACATCGCCGTAGTGGTTGCTGTAGGGGTCCCTTGACACCCAGCCTTCGGCAATGGTTTCAACTCCATTTGAAGGACTAGATGGCACAAAGGGTCGGGTCTTGTCTCCCTGCAGGCAAAAACACAGTGATTTTTTTTTTCTTTAATTTATTTTGTGCATGGTCTCACTATGCAGCTCAGACTCATAGTGATCCTCCTGTTTTCAGCCTCCCCAGCGCTTGGATTACAGGCATGCACCACCACTCCCGGACTCGGTCACTGGCTCAGAGTGCCCGGGGGCAGGGTCAGTGCGGCATGTGATGCCAGGCATCAAACCCAGATCCCTGCACTTGCCTGAGCAGGCGCTTAGTCTGCTGAGCTATCTCACCAGCCCTAACACAGTGGTTTTTAAGGGTAATATTTTCATTCAACAAAGCACAGGCCACTTCGTTAAAAATGTTCCAACTCCCAGAAATCCCACATAGCTCACCTTTACCTTGACCTCCCCTCCAAGTTCCCCTCCACTCTTTCACCCCAGCGTGGTACAAGTGCAATAGACAAACACAGTATCTAGTTTAAAAATCTTACCACTATAAAAGTACAGCAATAAGATAGTGTGTTCAAAGTGAGATGGAGGATTTTGCACACTTTGGGGAAGTAAAGACCCTCTGATTTCGGCTGTAATATACTGTTTACACTTAAACATTCACTGCACATTCTGATCAGGGCATAGAATCTGATAATCAAGTGTGGTTCTGTCTTCAGCACTACTGATAGTTGGGGCTGGTGATGAGTTTGGGGTCACTCACTGCACCTACCAACATCTTCTCTGGTATCCACCTACCCAGTGCCAGTGTCCTTATCCCACTGTCTACAACATTGCTAGGTGCTCCCTAGGGCAGACTGCCTCTGTCTGGGGACCCTAAGTTAAAGACAGAAGCTGAGGGGGCCAAGGCACCAGAGTTTTAGTCCCTGCATCTCAGCATTTCCCCTGTGGATGAGCATAAACAGCACTGTTCATGCTGGGAGAGACCTTGAGCACTAAACAACTCTAACAAGGAAGGACTGATAGCAGGTCCCACTTGCATGACACAGGATGGGGTCAGGCACAGTCTGTATCTCAGAGGACAGCGCCTACCCATATGGCCATCCATGAAGAGGAATCCATGGCCAGCCTCTGTGAAAAAGAAACATGTATAACATAAGCTACCAAGGGCTGAATGGGCTGAAAGGACTTGGCCCAGCACCAGGCACTCAGGCGGTGCTCATGATGCTACTGTCATTGCTATAGATGACCACTCTCTCCATCTCTCAGAGAGGATCTCCCCCTCACAAGTATCAGTCACATCCATCCAGGGCATGAGAGAGGGAGAGGCCCCACAGCTCTCCTGGACTCCTATGCCCAGTAACTATGTCAGGCACAGTTTTTCTGGGTCCTGGACAGCCCCAGTCAAGTGTGCCCTACCGTGGCCTGAACCCAGTGCACCTGACCCAGGCTATGCAATGAGCGTATGGAACACAGCACAGGCTCCAGGCACCAGGTGGCCTGCAGGTGCTAGATGATGCCAGTCAGCCACCCAGCTGCTCGGCACATCTCCCACCAGCTTCCGTTCATGAAGCCATGGCGAGTCACAGAAGCTCTGCATGTCCATCCACACTCCATGACCACTGCTGACGCCAGCCTTTCCAAGCTGAGGAATCCAAATGCACCAGTGCTCCAGTGTTTGCCTGTGTTGGTCACCAGTACCTGAGCAGCAGCAGTCTCTCCTTGCCCCTCACTGCATCACTCTGGACAGTGCCAGCTCTACAGGCAAACACTGCTTCCATCACCCTAGCTCCGCTCTTGCACTGCTAGGCTCCATCATCTGTGCCCTCTGCGACCATGTGACTTAGTCTCCTCAGCCCCCCGGTCTTCATCTATGAAGCAGAGATTATACAGCATTATCTATACCCTAGAGTAGTTATGAAAATAAATTAATTAGATAAAGCACCTATGTAATTAATATATTTACAGTGGTACCTTTGTACATAAACTTAATTTATTC